GACCGACGCCGACGCCACTTTCTTCAACGGCGCTGCGCCCTCGCACCTCGAGCGGCCGCCCCCGCGCCCCGTCGCCGCGAGGCAAGAGGTGGAGGTCCAGCGTCGCCAGTTCGATTTGGTCGGCAAGGACAAATGTGAGGAATACTACTTGCCAGGCGGCGCGTTCGACTGCCCCCGCGGATGGCGGGTCGCTGGCCCCCCAGGGAAATCCAGGGGGCACCGCGGGGCCGCCGATGTGCATTGGGCCGAGTGCCAGCCAGGATCCACATGGATCCCAGAGTTCGGGACAGATCAGGCGACGCCTCGACCAGGCCCGGCCCGCTGGGGTGAAGGCGCGGGAGGCGAAGGCTTGGAATTACCACCTGCATCAGCGCGCTGCCCCCCCGGCCCACCTCCGCGACATCGCCCATGACCTCGACGAGGACACGGCGACCAAGAGCAGGGCTGCTGGAAATAATTTCAGGCTCGTGCACGCTTGCAGGAACTGCAGCTCCTGCGTGGACACCTCGGCCGCGTTCTTCTCCCCGCGCCGCGCAGCGCCCATCGACAAGCGCATGGCCACCCTGGATTACAGGGCAGCCACCCGCGACTTCTTCGCCCCAGCCAAGCTGATCGACAAGAGGAGCGCGTACCCCAACCCGCGGGACGGCCCGTCTTTCCAGCGCCAGAAACGCGCGGACAAGGGACTTAGCACCCCACGCGCCCGTGGCATCCTCCATAAGGCCCGGTCGATCGGCCGGGCTTGCCCTCTTGAGCGGAAATGCGGCCTCTCCCGTTGCGAGGCCAACGCGTCGGAGAGGCCGCGAACCCAGGGCCGCGGCGGCGCGAACTGAAGTCACGGCCTGCGCCTACTCCGGACGGCCTGCGAGTCTGGTTCTGCAACACGAACGGGCTCCACGATAAAAATGGCATGGGGAAATGGGGCAGGATCAGGGGGCAGCTCGACGCCACCCGCGCCCACGTCGGCTGCATCGTCGACACGAACACCGACGAATCTCGCACCAGCAGCTTCGGGAAGTTGGTCACACCAGTTGTTCCAGCATATCTCGCGGCGCCGGCGCCCCCCGGTGGTCGCCGGGGCGGCGTTTTTTGGGGCCCAATGAGTTACGCAAGGATCCGTGGAAGTGGTCATCTGAATTCGACGGCAGGGTGGTCTCTGGCATCCTGCACGCCAGCGGCTCCGACATGATCATCATCGGCGTGTACACGGACGTCAAGGACATGCACGCTCGCAGGAAGCTCGCGAACGCCATCGCGGTCCGAGTGGCCGCTTCCGGCCTACCAACTCTTGTTGCCGGCGACTGCAACGCGGAGCCGTACGACGGGGAGCTCTCGCCGTGGCTCGGCATTTTGGACTATGCACACGAGAAGGCTCAGCCTCTTACTTCTTTCAACACCCACGGGGACAAGATGATCGACCTCGCCATGGACAGGTACCTCGCCGTCGAACCCGTTTCCCCCGACACCAAGATCAGCGACCACACTGCTGCGGCGGTGCAGGTGCACCTCGAGCCCCGGGCGGTCGTTCAGACGATCAGGAAGTGCCACCCTTTGGTGATGCCGGACGTTTGGGAGGAGGAGCGGCGATCCGCAGCCTCGTCTCATGCAGCGATTTGGGGGCGAGCACTTCGAGAAGGAGACGTCGACCTACTATGGGCGACATGGCGCAACTGCCTGGAGGCCTCCTGCGGGGTTCCCGAAGGCCAGCGTACACGGAAGCATGGCACCGCGGTGAAGAAGTGGCAGAGGACCTTCTGGGGAGCTCAAGGGCACCGGATGAGCGTCACGGAGCGGCGGCTGCACCGACTGCTGCGACGCATCACCGAGCAGCAACTCAAGGACAAAGCTGGGCAGGACCACCCAGACCTTGTCCGCAGCATCGAACGGAGTCTTCAGGGCCTCATCCTCGACGGGGTTCTGGATCAGGACACCGACCTCCTCGACTACCCGACGCTCGGGGACCACCTGCAGGCTCTTTTGGACAGGATGGGCCAGGAGAGCGCTGACGCCCGCATCCAGCAATGGCGCGCCCGCGCGCAAAATGGTGAGCTGAAGGCCATCTTCGACTACGCTAAGTACAAGCCCTTCACCGCGGCCCCTGCAGTAGCGGCGGATGTGCCAGGATCGAGGGCGACCTCGGCGACTGCGAAACCGACCGCGGACCCTTCCTGGCTGGTCGCTGAGGCCGTCAAGCAGTTCAATGCGAAGCGGCACGCCAAGCTAGACGACTGTCACCAGAACATGTATTTCGAGATGGTGCGCGGCTCCATCGAAACCATGCCTGCTCCTGCCGAGGACTGGCGCTTCGAGGACAACACCAGCGCGATCCGCGCACCCCTGCGGGCGATCGCCTACACGGCCGCTGGCCCTTGCGACCTCGACGCAGGTATCCTCGCCAAGGCCCCCCAGGAGGCGATCAACTCTCTCGGTGTCCTGGGCGACGTCCTCCGGTCCAGCGGCAGGTGGCCCAAGGCGCTCCTGACGGCAGTGACCACCATGATACCGAAAATCCGCGACGGCGCGCTCGCGGAGGACCTGCGGCCGATCACTGTCGGCGCGGCGGTGTTTCGCGCCTTCCAGAAAGTGTCCCTTGGACGGTACAAGAACTGGGCCGACGAGGTGCAGCCCACGAGTGCCATCCACAACCTCCTCACCATGGACATCGAGATCGGGGCCGCCCGGGAAGTCTGGCGAGCCCTTCATCGTTCGGCAATCGGACCTGTCAAATTGTTTCACCAGGCTGCAACCAGAACTCGCCCACCGCCTTGCGATGGAGTTCGGCATGCATGAGGTGGACAGCTGATTTTTATTATTGTCGGCCGTCGGCACGTCCGTGGTCGTGAAGGTGGGAGGGTACGCCTCGGACCCCATCTGCCCTGCACGTGGTATGCCGCAAGGCCGCAAGGGTACCTCGCATCGCCACTCGCCGCAGCCCTCTTCGCCGGGGCCCACACGCGACGACTGGCAGTTATGCACGATCCAGAGTCATTTTCGTTCAGACCGTACGTGGACGACCGCAACATCACCTCCAGCGACATCGACACCGTGACCGCTTTCGAGGGGTCCCTCAAGGAGCTGGACATCGCGAGTGGCCAGAAGGAGGACCCCAGCAAGGAGGAGTGGGCCTGTTTCAACCTCCCCCTGGTCATCCTGCAGGACCGCGAGAGGGCCGGCAAGCCTCTCCAGGGGCACGTGGGCCTCCTCGGGGTTCGCTTCGACCTCACAGGCGCTGCTCCGACTGCGGAGGCCTCCTGGGCCAACCGGCGCATGGAGGAACTCTTCTGCCGCTTGGGCTGGATCCGTCGCGTCTGTGGCGGAGCTCAGCAGGCTATTGATTTTGTCTTCAGGGTCGTTCTCTGCACCATGGGCCTCTTCCGCTGGGATGCGCCGTGGTGCACTATGAAGACCGCAGACATCAGTTCCATGCGCACCCGCCTGGAGCAGACCATTTTCGGCCGTCAGCGCCACAGAACATGGAGACGCAGGGGTGCCGCCTGGTGCCTCCTGGACAAGGGATGGAAGATCGAGCCCATGGGCGTAATTTTCTCCAGCTTCATCAGCTTCCTGCGCTGCACCAAGAACAGCCACCTCCAGCCGGTCGTCCGCCGGGCCTGGAGGTTTGCAACGGGAGGGCCAGCGCTCCTCGCGAATATGGTGGTACGGATGCGCAGCGTGTTCGACAGCATGGGCTGGCAATGCGGCAGCGACCCGTACGAGCCAACCTTTGCGGGGACGTCCTTCACAGTCTCCCTCTCCAAGGGCAAGCTCGAGCATTACGTCTGCAAGGCGTGGCGCGGGTTCATGATGAGAGACGCCAGCACCACCACGAACCGCAAGGAGCGGGTGGACTTGCCGAGCCTGGACGTCAAGACACTCCGCGAGTTCATAGACAAGCAGCCCGCAGCTCGACGCAAGTGGGCTTGGCGATGCGCAGTCGGGGCTGAAGCAAGCCCGGATCGCCTTCATCACATTCATGCTGATGTTCCATATCATTGCGAGCAGTGTGGCGTCCCGGCCACCACTCGACACATCCAGTGGGAGTGCAGGAACACGACAGAGAAGCGGGCCAGGTCAGGGGTACACCCGCACAGTTTGTCACGCCTGGTGCCCGACAGTGAACGGGCAGCCTTACTACTCAAAGGGGTGGTTCCGTGCACGCTGGGATCCTCCAGCAGGTGTCTCTCTGGCTGATTGGGCTGAACACCATCATCACATACGTCATCTTTCTTGTCGCATCCTCAGGTACAAAATGGAGACGCTCCAGCCGTACCACAGCATCCTGGCCGGTCAGGGCGCCGTCTAGCCTTCGCACGAGTGGACCTAGGACAGAGTCATCCTGGTTCACGTGCAGAGGCTCAGGTCGGCGGCATACTCAGCATGTTGTGAAAGATGTGCAGCTCGCGACGGGCAACTCTTCTTTCCAGAGGGAGAAATTAAGCAACATATTTGAGCGCGGACAAAGTGGATGTCTGATATAAACGCACTGAAGTGTCACTGCCGCCTTGCACGATATTGGGAAGATTAGCCACCATGTTTGCCCAGGGGCGAGCCATTGACGAGCGTGGTAAGCGGAGAGGGCGGAGGAGGCGGCGGAGGAGGAGAAGGTGGAGGAGGAGGCGGAGGAGGACCAGTCTGCACCCCGACTCGTCTCTGGCAGGCCCCAGGGCCCCAGAGGGGCCCTGGGAGCTCCGACGGTGGCGAAAGAGCTCCAGCAGGACCTCTTCCCTTTATGCTGCGGGGGCGCGCTCGCGTTCTCTGGCAATCCACGGAAGCATCCCATGCCATTTTGCTAGCTCTTGCGGATCGACGCTGACGGACGCTAGCCGCTAGCCGACACGAATCGACGCTAACCGACGCTACATCGGCGCTGCTTCATCGATCACCAGAAGCTGGCGCGCTCCAAGAGCTGAACCTCGAGGACACGACGATTTCCTGTGTTCTCTCACGAGTTGCTGCCGAACTCGTCTAGCAAAGACCACCGACACGAGCCAGCGCCGCTGTCACCTCCCGTAGATGCCCTCGTCCGGCTCGATCTCGTCGACGGCGTCGTGGAACCAGACGCGGCGGCCAGCCGCGGAGGTGCGTCGGACCTCTCTCTCTCTTGTTTTTTTTTTTTCTCTCTCTCTCTCTCTCTCTCTCTCTCTCTCGGGGCCAGCTGGCGAGTGGGCGAGGGGAGGGGAGAAGTGCGAGGCGGCAGCATGGCGAAGATCGAGGGTCGAGGTTCCCAGGTCGCCGAACCTCGCATTTCGCGTCCCACGATGCGTGACGCGCGGTTATCTTTGCGCCCTCGCGCCGCCTCGCTGTAGAGGGCGCCTCTCCAAGCGGAGGAGATCGCTGCTGCAAAAAGACAAGCAAAGCGCTCGAGACAACCACGCCGTCTGGGCGCGAACAAGGAGTGAGGCACTACCCCCTGGCGGCTCCCCTTTGGATGTGCTGAAACCGGCGCCTCGCCCGAGACATCCTCAGAATCTGCTCCAAACGCAGACGAGTCTGGCCACAAAAACAAGCAAAACGCTCGAGACATACTCGCAATATGGGCCCCTGGGGTGCGAAAGCCAGCGCCTCGCCCGAAAAACCCTCCAAGTCTGCTCCGAAAGCGGAAGATGCTGCGGCAGCAAACAAGCAAACCGCTGGGCTGGGGACATCCCCGCAATCTGGGCGCGAACGGACGAGAGGACCCGCTTGGGTGTGCTGAAACCAGCGCCTCGCCCGAGACATCCTCAAAAGCTGCTCCATCATCGTCATCATCATCATCACCAACATCATCATCACCGACATCATCATCATCATCATCATCATCATCATCATCATCATCATCATCATCATCATCATCATCAGCATCATCAGCATCATCATCATGAGCATCAGCATCATCATCAGCAGCATCATCATCATCAGCATCAGCATCATTAGCATCAGTATCAGCATCAGCATCAACACCATCAGCATCATCATCCACATCATCGTCATCAGCATTAGCATCAACACCAACAGCTTCCCCCTCATCATCATCATCATCATCATCATCGTCATCAGCAGCAGCAGCAGCATCATCAGCATCAGCATCATCCACATCATCAACATAACATGAGTAAGGACCCTGAGTGTGACCCTGAGTACGGGTAACTCTGAGTGAGAAAGACGAGGAGAAGCAGGAGGAGGAGGAGGAGGAGGAGGGGGAGAAGGAGTCAGTGGGAGGAGTCGGCGCGATCGGAGTGGCCATTCACTGCGTGGAGCTCCCCGTATGTGCATAGATTGGCATGGACCTGTCTGCCGTGAGTGTCTAGGCGCAAGAGGTTTCGAATGCAAGCGGGCTTGAGTATCACGTCTGGGAGTGAATCTGATTATGAATGAGTTGGAGCGTGAATGAGTCTCAGTAGTATTAGTGCGCCTCTGCGCGTGAGCCTGGGGCCTCCTGGGGCCCCTTGAAACCTCCTGGGGCTTCCTGGGTTCTCCTGGAGCCTCGTGGACCCCCCTGAGGTCTCTTGGGGGTATCCAGTAGCCTGCTGAAGCCTCCTGGGGCCTTGTGTGGCCTCCTGGGGCCTCCAGGAACCTCCTGGAGCCTCCTGGGGCCTCCTGGGAAGGATTCGTACCCCAGGAGAGGCCCAAGCTGCAGGATCAGACGTGAAACACTTCGGATTGGAACCACAAGAGAGGGGCACTCTATAGGAACACACGTAGAAAACACAAAGGACTCGTGCCCCAGGGGAGGCCCAACATATAGCAGCATACGTAAAACAATTGGGAGAGAATAGCTATACGTATACTGAATACGAATATGACTCTGAATGGGTCTGAGTACGAGTGAGTCTGGCTACGAGTGAATATGAGGGTGGGCGGGTCTGAGTGTGAGTGATGCTGGGTGTGAGCAAGTCTGAGTGTGAGTGCGTCTGAATGTGAGCATGATGAATATCAAACTGACTATGCGTGGGTCTGAGTACGAGCGGCTCCGACTACGAGTGAGTCTGAGGGCGCGTGGGTCTAAGTGTGAGCGCGTCTGAGTGTGCGCAAGTCTGCATGCGAGTGAGTCTGGCTGGGTATGAGTATGATGAGTGCGACGTTTGAGTATGAGTGAATCTGAGCACGAGTGAGTTTGAGCACCACTGAGTCTGGGACATCCTCACAATCTGGGCCCCTCGGGTGCGAAAACCAGCGCCTGGCCCGAGACATCCCCATAATCTGCTTTGAACTCAGGCGAGTCTGGTCAACAAAACAAGCAAACCGTTCGAGACAAACTCGCAACCTGTGCCCCCAGGGATGCGAAAACCAGCGCCTCGACCGAGACATCCTCAGAATCTGTGCCGAAAACGGAGGATGCTGCGGCCCAACACAGGCACACCGCTCGAGACATCCCCGCCGTTTTGGCGCGAACGGACAAGTGCAATACCCCCTGGCGGCCCCCCTTGGGGGGCGAAAACCATCGCCTCGCTCGCGACATCCTCAGCATCTGTTCCGAAAGCGGGGGGGGCTGCGGCCCTAAACAAGCAAACCGCTCGAGACATCCCCGTTATTTTGGCGCGACCGGATGAGTGCAATACCCCCTGGCGGCTCCCCCTTGGGGGTGCTGAAACTCGCGCCTCGCTCGAGACATCCTCGAAAGCTGCTCCATCATCGTCATCATCATCACCAACATCATCATCATCATCATCATCATCATCATCATCATCATCATCATCAGCAGCATCATCATCACCTCATCATCGCAACCACCACATCATAACATAACATGACATCACATAGCATACCAGCATATCGCATGATCATAACACAACATAGCATACCATACCATAACATTACATACCCTACCATACCATACCATAGCATAGCCTATCATAATATTACTTACCAAACCAAAACCACACCATACCATAACATGCCATGCCATACCATTATATACTAGACCATAAAATGAGAAGGACGAGGAGGAGGGATTTTCTGCAGGAGTCGGCGCGGCCGGTAATTAGTCACTGCGTGGAGCTCCCCGTATGGGCATCTGTTTGCATGGGCCCGTCCGCCATGAGCATCTAGGCGCAAATATTGTCGGATATAAACGGGCTTGATGTACAAACGTGATGTCGCATGGTTGAGTGCGAGTGTCATTTGTCGAGGCACGAAAGAGTTGAGTACGAGTGGGCCTGAGACTGCATAAGTCTGACTATGAGCGAGTCTGAGCGAGTGTGGTCTGAGAGTGGGTATGTCTGGGTGTGAGTGGATCAGAGTGGGAGTCTAATGAGTACGAGTCTGACTCTGAATGGGCCTGTGTACGAGTGAGTCTGACTACGAGTGAATGGGTGGGTCTGAGGGCGAGTGCTTCTGAGTGTGAGTAAGCCTGAATGTGAGTGAGCCTGAGTATGATTATGATGAATCAAAGTCTGAGTTTGAGTGGGTCTGAATACGAGCGAGTCTGACTACGAGTGAGTCTGAGGGTGGATGGATCTAAGTGTGAATGAGTCTGAGTGAGCGCGAATCTGAATGAGAATGAATCTGAGGATGAGTATGGTGAGCACGAGTCGGAGTATGAGTGAGTCTGTGCACGAGTGAGGTTGAGCATACGTAAGTCTGGGATATCCTCACAATCTGGGCCCCCTTGGGGTGTCGAAACCAGCGCCTCGCCAGGGGCATCTTTAGAATCAGCTTTGATCGCAAACGAGTCTGGCGAGCAAAAGAATCTGCCCGCCAACATCGTCATCATCAACAGCAGCATCATCATCAGCAGCAGCATCATCACATCATAGCACCATCATCATCAAACACATAACATGGCATAACACAAAGCGACATATCGTCAACATAGCATAACATCGCGTGATCGACCATGCCACAACACATCATAGCATAGCATAACATACGAAACCATACCATTCAATGCCATACCATACCATGGGCCATACCATGCCATGGTATAACATCAGATAACATACAGTGTAGACACATAGCATAGCACAACAGCTTAGAACCACTCTGGGTGAGGAAAAGGAGGAGGAGGGAGGGTGTGTGAGGAAGTTGGCGCGGTCAGGGTAATAATAAGAAGCCCATCATCCTCTGGGTATAGGAATTAACAGGAACCCCATCCTCTGGATATGGGGAAGGAGAAACCCATCCTCTGGGTATGGGGAATCACAAGGAACCCAGCCTTTAGACATTGAGAGTTGCAAGAACCCCATCCTCTTGGATGTGGGTAACAATCAATTGACCCACGCTTCGGGGGCAACGATCGCTTATACAAAACAATTGGCCCGCGCTGCCGAACTAACGATCCATTGTAAAACGTTGTCCTGGCGAAGGACCCAACCATATGAAGTTGTGGATACCGCAATTGTGAATCTCTTCTTTGGTGAAGCCCCCTATGGGGCCACGAAGCGCTGCGCTGGGCGGGGGGGAACGCATGCGGGCGGTAGCAGTGGGGCCGTCGGTGAAGCCCCCTTATGAGGCCACGAAGCGCTGCACTGGGTGGGTGAAAATACCAAATTGGGCGTGTAGGACGCATGCGGGCGGTCCCACTGGGGGCTTCGGTGGAGTTTCCCATGGGGCCGCGAAGCGTTGTAAAGGGTTGGCGAAAATGCCAAATTGGGTGTGGGGGACGCATGCGGGCGGCCCCACTGGGGGCTTCGGTGGGGCCCCCTGTGGGGCCACGAAGCGCTGTACTGGGTCTGCGAAAATGCCAAATTGGGCGTGGGGGGCACATGCGGGCGGTCCCACTGGAGGCTTCGGTGGAGCTCCCTGTGGGGGACGCATGCGGGCGGTCCCACTGGGGGCTTCGGTGGAGCTCCCTATGGGGCCACGGAGCGCTGTACTGGGCGGGCGAAAATGCCAAATCCGGTGCGGGGGACGCATGCGGAGGGTCCCATTGGGGGCTTCGGTAAAGCTCCCTATGGGGCCAGGGAGCGCTGCACTGGGTGAGTGAAAATGCCAAATCGGGTGTGGGGGACGCATGCGGACGGTCCCACTGGGAGCTTCGGTGGAGCTCCCTGTGGGGCCACGAAGCGCTGTACTGGGTGGGTAACAAAGCCAAGTTGGGTGTGGGGGACGCATGCGGGCGGTCCCACTGGGGGATTCGGTGGGGCTCCCTATGGGGTCACGAAGCGCTGTACTGGGTGGGTGAAAATGCCAAATTGGGCGTGGGGGACGCATGCGGGCGGCCCCACTGGAGGCTTCGGTGGGGCTCCCTATGGGGCCACGAAACGCTGTGCTGGGTGGGTGAAAAGCATGGAAGAAGGAGGAGGGAGGGGAGGAGGGGGAGGAGGAGAGGAGAGGAACGCGGGGCACCGTCCCTTCAAAACGAGGACCCAACACCACAGGATGGTTGGGAACAATTGGTGCGGGCTGCCCAGGCCACGATCGCTATAAAGCATAAATCCGACGGAATACTAATCAGGTGAAAGTGTCCGAAGTAAGTAACGAAGCAAGGAAGCGTTGCTTGGTATTGCTTGCATGGCTTGGCATTGCTTGACATCGTGACATTTCGTCAAATTTATTTGCACTGACTTGAACTACATTACGTTGCATTATGTTACTCGACATTGCTTTGCACTGCTTGGCATTTCTTAGCATAGTTTGGCATTGCATTTGCATGGCTTGGCATGTGGTTTGCGTTGCTTTGCGTTGCTTGGCATTTGTTTGCATTGCTTGGCAAGGCTTGCCATTGGTTCGCACTGCCTTGCATTGCGTTGCGTTGCTTGGCATCGCTTGGCGTTGCTTTGGGGGGCTTGGCATTTCCTTGTGTTGCTCGGCATTGCGTGGCATTGCTTGGCAACCCTGGGGGCGCCTCCTCAGAAGCAGAAAAGAAGCGAGGACAAGGAGCCGGGGGATCCCGAGGCACACGGGCGACGCCGGCGGCCAAAGACAGTCAGGGAACGAGACCAAGGAGCCCGAGGAACCCAAGCAACGCCGGCCAGCGCAGGCCGGGCACCCACAAGTTGTTCAAAAACAGATACTCCGGATCGCTGAATAATCGCACCCCCTTGGAGTGCCCAGGCGAATTGACCGCGGCGCGTCCGCGGGGGTGCCAGGGGGGGACCGGGGTTCGTTCCCTTCCCCGCTGGGGCGCGGGGGTGGTGCCGGGGGGGGTTGGACGCGCCGCGTTTTCACGTTTGTCACCCCCCCTTGATCAAGAAGAAGTTCGGAGTAAGTAGCCCTGAAGCAAAACCTAATTGGGGAACTATGAGTCCGCGATCCCGAAGCCAGAGTCCTCTCTGCAGAAATCAACGGGTCCGCGCCCCCGAGGCCAAGATCCCTTTTGAAACGCAATGGCTTCGTGCTCCCGAGCTTCCAAGACGGCTTAGGCAGGCAACCAAGGCCGCCAAGATGGCTGAGCATACCTCCAAGACGGCCCGAGATGGCCCAACGGCGGCCCCAAGTTAGTCTCAAGACGGCCCTAGGGCCCCCCAAGATGGCGTTTCTAAAGAGTCGTGTGTCTTCATCTGTACAGGCACTATTCAGCTCCAGACGGCCCTGGTGCGTTGACGACCCATGAAAACTGGAGGCTCTGAACGCAACCAACGCCACAAGCGCGCGCTCAAGGCTCGACAACAGGGCTTTGGTCAGTGAACGGAGCTGTAAGAGATAGCCCAGACGGCAAATAGGGCCCCAAGACGGCCCAATAGAGCCCCAAGACGGCCCAAGAGAGCCCACGCCCCAAAGTGCCCCAAGGAACCTCCGAGACTGTCCCACAGGAGCCCAAGAAAGGGCGCATGAAAGTGAGGGGAAGACAACGAACTTGAGAAGAAAACCCACGAGACGACGCGGAAGATTGCGCCACATGTAAAGGCCCTCCCAAGCCACGGGAGACGAGGTGTCACAAGTCACGGCCTTCTGTGCCCCCGCGAACAGTCGGCATACATAATGCTGGGCTGGCACGGTGGCGGAACTTGCCGCAGCCTAGATTGCACAGTATAGCTTCTATCATACATTCAAGCCAGGCGCTACACCGCATTTAGCTTGCACAACATAGCTTACACCGCTTTAGCATTCACCGCACCACACGCATATTTTACCACAGATGCTGCATGCCGAGAGCGCAAGAACCTACTGATTGGGGTCCACGGTGGCGGACCTTGTACGTATGCGTTTCGCCCTTTTGGGGCCTGCAAGGACACCATCCTGGCCACGGCTGGAGCGCGGCTCGCAAGGCGGGCACGCAAACGAAACCGTGGCAGCATACAAGCGATCGCCGAACAGTAGGGGGGGCCGCCTGAAGAGGCCACGCGCGCTGCTCGCGAAAACGTCTGCCGCCGTGCCAACGGCGCGTTAAGACGTGTGAGAACGCCGCTCAGCTGCATGGCAGCGTCGCCAGCTCCAAAATACCATACACACCTTGTCATTCGGGCACTCTTCTCATGCCCAAGGCCAAGACCAGACAAGAGGCCCCAAGAATACGCCAAGGCGTCACAAAAAGAGAATTTTGCAGACGGCCCCCAGGCCGCGCAGAAGCCTCGAGAGATCACAAGAGAGCCTCACCAGCCTTTAAGATAGGCCCGAGAAGCAGCCGGACAGGCCCAAACGAGCTCTCCACCAGGTCCCTGGCAATCCAGAATGAAAAACGAAACCGCATCAGGGTTCTCATGATGTATGTTCCCTGGCGGTTCGAACTAACATGGCTTCAACAATCAGGCATGCACGAGTGCCGAGCGGGCAGTGGAGCAAGAGAGGAGCAACAGAAAGAGAGCGGGAAGAAGCACGGCTGAGGCAGGTCGAGGGCGAGGAGGGAGGAAGGAGGGGGAGCGAAGAAGTGGGGAAAACGCGCAAGGACATGGCGCAGGGGGTAGCCGTCCCCCGCGAGATACGTCGAGCCCCTCTGAGAGAAAGGGCGCGCCCTTAGCATTGTCCCATGGCTTTCGAACCCTACTTCGGTTCTCTGGCCGCCGCTCGGGACGACTTGGTCACTCCTGGAACGCTCTCGAAGAGGCACAGCTGCCGGAGAGCATCCCGAGGCGGGCAAACCGCCGAAAACCTCCCACCTCGGACCCCAGACCCGAAGCGCGCCGCCCTGCGACGCAACGTGCACATCGCGCCCTCCCGACATCGCGAAAAACCGGGACCAGAGTTGGAGGCCTGGAAATGCGCACCAACACCAAGACAGGGGGCTGCCTCCACAGGGGAGAGATGAGATCCTGGACTCCGGTGTTGGTGGTGTGGTAAGATTTCGGTCCCCTTGGAAGCCAGACTATTACCACCATCACCGAGATCGGGATCTTCTTCCCTCGGTGGAGGAACACCGCCGATAGATTGCAAAAAAACGAAGGATTGCAAAACAAACCCAGGATTGCAAAAAAAACAGGATTTGCAATCCTTAGTTTTTTTGCAATCCTTCGTGTTGGTGTCAACCTCTGGGCCTGCGACACCCGATCCCACCGCCCTGCGCCACCTCTCCGCGCCGCACCGAGCCGAGAGGAGAGGCCCCGGGGCCCGACGCCGGGCGGAAAAACGCCGGGCGTGACGGGACTGAAGGGGCCCCAGGACACACAAATAAATACACACAAATAAAAATAGGTTCCCCATATTTTCCCGTGTTTTCTGGGTTTTTGTCTTCCCCCCACTTCCCATAGTTTCCCATGTTTTCTGGGGAATCGACGATTCATTGTGTCTGTGTGTTTTTGTTCCCTCCTGAAAGACTGCGGAGCCTGGGCCCGAGGGCAGCGCATGCGTCCAACCGCGCCGAGGGAAGAGGACCCCCCTGCTGTTGCATCCTTGGGGGACCTCGCCTGTCCCGTCGCGCCCCTAGCCGCGTCGACTCCGCGCCGAATGCATGCCGGGCTCGTCGAATCCGCGCCGGATACGTGTCGAATCCGCGTCGAGCCCACGCCAAATCCGCGTCGAGTCCGCAACGAGCCCGCGTCGCGGCCAAGAGAGAGAACGAGGAAGAGAAAGAGAAACACTGAGTGCAAAAACGCACACGAGCACGGAACACAGCCTCAGAGGGCATCGCAAAACCGCGCGACGGTCGCGTGCCAATCTGCGATGGTCTGCACTGAAACTTGCCACACAAGCGCAAGGGCCTCCCCACCCCCCGCTGCCCGGACAGCGTGCGCATGAATCTCAGGACACCACGTCTTTCTCGGTCGCCCCCCCTTCCTCCTGTAGACGAGCGCGTCGCACCACTCGCAAAGTAAGTGCTCGCAAATGGCCTGGATCCCCCGCGGAGGATCTACCATAAATTACATCGAAGCGGACATGTGCTGTTCGGACGGTTGCGGGCAGGCACCTTGCGAGTAGTGGAACGCGCTCGGCAATCCTGAACACGGACAGCGCCAGTTCGTCCCGGGGGCAACCGAGGCACCCCGAAGATGCAACGTAAGCCGCCCCTGCGCGCCTTCAGCGGAGGGCACAGCGCCCCCGGTGGCCCCTCGCGGGGGCCGGGGCCCTCCGCGGCGGCGTCCGCCTCGGCGGCGGGGGGCGCCTCCTGGGCGGGGCGCTTCCTGGCGGGGGGGGTTGCCAGGGCCCCGACAACCGCTGCGGCGTCTTGGGTCCTCCGCTCTTGCTAGGGGAACAACCAGTGACATGAAGAGAACAAGTCGAAGGTCCGCGCAGACTTCTCGAGTCGGCGCTGGGCCCCCCTGCCTGGCGCGCGGTGCGCGCCAGGGGCCAGGGGCGGTGCCGGAGGCGCCGCCAGGGGGCTCCAGCGCCTAGCCGAAAAGTCGGCGCGGACCTCCGACGACGTCGGGCGCTTCGGGCGGGGCGTCATGGTGGCCTCGAGGCTGCAGCTGGCCGCACTCACCAGCTCCTGCAACTCGAGGGAAAACAACCGGCATGAGCATCATTCCTCTCAGGAGCCCAGAAAGGACGTACGCGCCCAACCATGTACATGAACACGGCCCCTCGATCAGCGAGACCGGCCGCGTTCGCGCTATACGTACTCTCGAAACCTATATGGGTTCATGTAAGCGTACGTCCTTCTTTCGCTCTTGATTCTCAGAGGTCTGCAGGGACTTCTGGGATCGGCGGTGGAGCCCCCTGGTGGCGCCTCTGGCGCCGCCCCGGGCGCGCTCCGCGCGCCAGGGAACGGGGCCCAGCGCCGATCCAGGAAAGCAGCGCGGACCTCCGAAGCTGGTTCCTCGGCCGCTGCCGCTCCTCCCTGTGCCTCACAGCGTCTCGCCAGAGGCCTCGGAGGGGCCTCCCGGAGGCCCGACGCGAGGCCCGAGGCCCCGAGGTCCGAGAGGGACCGAGGCGGCCACGGCGGCCACGCGCACGGACTGGCCCTGCGCAGGAGCGGCCCGTGGTGCGCGGCCTGAGCGCGCGACAGTGGCGGCCTGCGTGCCGAGGGCCACCCTGGCGAAGGGTCGCTCCCTGCAGCCGGGGCAATAATATATATATATATATATATATATATACATGTATATAATATACATGTACACATATACATACATCCATCAATCCATCCATACATCCATCCATCCATGCATGCATGCATGCATGCATGCATACACACATACATACATGCATGCATGCATACATACATACATCCATCCATGCATGCATGCATACATACCTACCTACCTACCTACCTACCTACCTACATACCTACATACATACATACATACATACATACATACATACATACATACATACATACATACATACATACATGCATGCATGCATGCATGCATCCATACATGCATACACGCATGCATACATACATACATACATACATACATACATGCATACATGCATGCATGCATGCATGCATGCATGCATGCATACAGACATGCATACATACATACATACATACATACATACATACATACATACATACATACATACATACATACATGCATATACATACATACATACATACATACATACATACATACATACAGACAGACATACATACATACATACATACATACATATATACATACATACATACATACATACATACATACATACATACATACATACATACATACATACATACATACATACATACATACATACATATAGAGGAGCATCCTTCAAGAACATGAGATCCCCCGCCGGCCAAAACGCACTAAACATGCAAGGGCACCCTCCCCAGGGTGCGCAAGAACATCCAGCAAGCACGAAGAACATCAGGGCACCCTCCCCGGACCGACCTCCATCTGATGCCTCGGTCCGACCCTTCGCGCGGCCCGCCTGGGCTCGCCAGCGGCTCAAGAGAGGAGCGGACGAAGGGCGGGGGATGGCGGATGGCGGAGGGCGGCTTGATCGGCAGATCGGGGGCGGGCAGCTGGATCTCACGCCGCCTCCCGGCGCCAGGGGCGGCCACGTGCCGAGGCGAGCGAGCGGCGGCGGGGCCGAGGCCGGCGGCCTGCAGCAGCTGCCGCACCCCCTCCTCTCCCGATCCTGCCCCCTCCGTCCGCTCCGACGGGGGCCGGCTGCGCGCAGGAGTGACGCTTACGGCCAGAGAGAGACGGGTGGCGCGCGGCGCTGGGCCCGCACCTGCTCAGGGTCGCTCTGGCAAGGGGTCCCGCCTGCGGGGAGCCGGCCGCTCCCTCGCATCTCCCTCCGGGCGCATCGTCTTTTCGGAGCGGCTCCGATCTAAGAGTTCGAGCTCCACCAGGCCCCCCGTTTGCAAGTAGGACCTGTGCGCGAAAACAGCCTTCGGGAGCGGAGACGAATTTGAGAGGCAGACGCACACGTGTACCTTTGCACGGTGCTGCCGCTGATTGGCCACGGCGCCATGGCAGGATCAGACAGAATGGAATGCGCAAGTCGGATCGGATCGGATCGGAACGTGCGTGGAATCGGGTTACATCGGCACGGAGTCGAATGGAAGCGGCCCGGCGAGAATACACAAAAAAACAAGGAATGCAAAAGACTAGACGAGACCCTCTTGGTCCCAAAAGCGCATGCATGCACAAGGAGCCCATCAGGAACAATCATGGAAGGACCTAAGGAACAGCGAGCCCCTTCCGAATCCTTACTGGTCCTAATACGGTATCTTGCCTGAACGCCGTGCAAGCATCGGGCCGCATCGGACCCTGTGGAAATCTACACCAAACCCAACAAGAGGAATAACACACGGTATCAACAGAAACTTTCGACGTTCCGCGCGCCTTGCTTGGATCTGCGCTGGACCCCTCCATGGCGCGCGGAGAACTCCATGGGCGGCCAGAGATGCCGCCAAGGTGGCCTGGCGCAGATCCAAGAAATCTGCGCGGAGCTCCAAATGTTCATGTCCTATCCCCCTCTCAGAGAATCGGGCCCAACCCCAGCCGAAAGTCCTGTCGAATCGGACCGACCGGTCGGGATGGGCCCTTCGGGTCGGCCAGGGCCCGGTCGGCCAGGGTCCTGCCACGAAGCCCCGAACCCGAATCAACGCAGGGCGGAATAGTCGGGGAGACGTAGGACTCGGGTTCAGGGGACTCGGGTTGACCTGACGGGACCACCATGAAAATGACAGGAGCCAATCCGAAACTTGACGCGAACTCCCGTTGCAAATACCCCACGAAAACTGAACCGTCAAACTCCAGGGCGGACTCTTCGAAAAGCGTAGGCGAACCCGAGTTCCCGTGCACTCGGAGTCGCACGCCTTCCCGAAGTAAGGGGATGGGCATCACGTGGCTCCCAAGCCCGGGTCAGCCAGACGGTACTGGCCGACCCCTGTTAGCGCTGCCCCCCTTAGCGTGCCCCGCGGCCGGGCCGGCGGAGTGCAGCACGCCCCGTCTGGCGGCATTCGACCGGCCCCGCCTCCAGCTGCCGGCCGACAAGAAAAAACCTGGGCGTCGCTGAATGAGGGGCGATGAAATAACGGAATAACGGGAGAGGGGGAGAAGGAGAAGAAGAAGAAGAACGGTGCACTTTTCGGGCCCACAGGGCCTCCTTTTTAGACCCTCGGGGAGGGCGGGGGGAGAAAGGTGCACTTGTCGGGCACTAAGGGCCCCCGTTTGGGCACTAAAGGTCCCCTTTCGAGACCCCAGAGGACTCCGTTTCTGCAGCCCTCGCTGCCCCCCCCCCATCGATCTCCCCCCAGTTACGCGACGCCCAAGCAACTCTGCTCGCCGGGGTCTCCGGGTCACTGGCCAGCCTCGCCGAAGTTGGCCGAGGCCGAGAGTGAAGCGCTCCAGGAAGGGCCTCGCCCTCGAGGGTCGAGGGAGCTGGAAAAGTTCTCTCCCTCGGCGGAAGGCCGCGGAAACGCAGCGGATGCCCGCGGATTACTCGATCTGCCTTGCCCCGCAGTTTCGTGAATTGCCCCGAAGTCGCGACCCCAAGCATGCTCATCTCTCTGAAGCCAGGCCGCCTGGCCGACAGCTGATCCTTGTGAGGGTCGCCACTTCAGGCGAAGGCGCCCTCCCGCAGGGAGGAGCGTCGTCCTCGTGAGGGTCGTCACTTCGGGCCAAGGCGCCCAGCCCACACCTGGCCCACAGAGCCGGCAGAGGCCTCCGGCCCACCAGGAGGGGCGGGCCTCCCCGTGAGGGTCACGACTTATCGAAGGCCAAGGCGCCCAGCCCACACCTGGCTCACGGAGCTGGCAGAGGCCCCTGGCCAACCAGGAGGGTCGCCACTTTTCACAAGCCAGAGCGCCTGGCACACACCTGGCCCGCAGAGCCGGCAGATGCCTCCAGCCCACCAGGAGGGGCGGCATCCCCGTGAGGGTCGCTACTCTTCGCAAGCCAAAGCGCCAGGCACACACCTGGCTCACAGAGCCGGCAGAGGCCCCTGGCCAACCAGGAGGGGCGGCATCCCCGAGAGGGTCGCCACTTTTTCACAGGCCAAAGCGCCCAGCCCACACCTGGCTCACAGAGCCGGCAGAGGCCTCCAGCCCACCAGGAGGGGCGGCATCGCCGCGAGGGTCGAACAATAATATGACGACAACGAGATCAGCAACAATCACATCATAAGCGTAGGACCAGCAAACACGACATGAGCAACGGTATGAGGAGCAATAACATCATCAGCAATAACCGCGCCAACTCCATTATGACAAATCATAACAGCGTAGAAACAGCAATGTGCATGACCAGCCACAACAACAACAACAACAACAACAACAACAACAACAACAACAACAACAACAACAACATAACAACCACATGACCAGCCACGACGGCATGAGCAGCAGCCGCATGAACAGCAACAACGACATGAGCAGTTGTCGCATTGCAACTTCAGCACCAGTCGCATCAAAGGCTTCTCCCATCAGCGAAGTAGTGACGAGCAACAGCCGCAGCAGCAAAGCCGGCAGATGTCTCCGATCAACAGAATCTTGTCAGGTCAGAACCCCTTTATCCTGAAACACATCTGGAGAATAAAACCCTAGATCCCAAAGTGCTGGCATCTCTTGGAGGCGCATATATTACTTCCGCTGGCCTTCGCTGGCCTTCCGCCATCAGGGCCGCCCTCGTTCGTTGTTTCCGCCAGCCCTCCTGCCACTCTCCGAGAAGGAAAGAAAGTGAACCTCTAGCCCTCGAAAACGAGGGCCTTCCTGGAGCGCACAGTGTGGTGCTGCGCCGTACCCGAACAGTTTGAGTGGGCGCAAATTCGTATAGTCCAAGGCGGGGGAGGAGGTACGGTCAGGAACTTTTGCCTAGCGTATCGCCACTGCGGTCCCGGCGACACGCTATGCCTTGCGAGTGGATCGCGTGTCGGACCGTTCCGAGGGGCGGGATGCTGGGAAATGCTCAGGACACGAACGCCTAGGGGCCAGGATGTGGATAGATAGCGTGTCGCGCCGAGGCGTGATGGGCCAGAACTGGCGGAGCGACACGCTATCCAAAAAGTCCCTGACCGTACTTCCAGGTCTTGGGACACTTCTGGGGCTTCGAAGCTCCCAGGGCAAGGCGGCCACACGGCGGGTCAGGCTGTAAGAGGCCGCCGCCCAACAAGCCCAAGATTCGTGAGCGAGCCAGATGAGGTTTGGACCCTCTGGTCTACCGGCTGGACACAAGAGCGACCCTGGGCAAGGGTGACCGTTGGTGCGCGGCCTGCAGATCGCTGCGTGCGATGCGACAGCGGCGGTCCGCGTGCTTGGGTTTGCCCCCACCCCCCCATCCCCCCGCGCGCCGCCCCGCCAAAGCCGCGCACCATTGGTCACTACGGCGGAAGGTCACCGGGGCGAAAATGGTGTCATGATGCGATCGGCTCAGGATACTTTCAAGGATTGCCAACAATATCTAGCGACACAGCCAGTGCGGAACATCAGGAAATTCGAGGAATCCTCTGGAAACCTTGGGAATATTGGAACGTATCATGATCATGACCTCTTGCTCCTCTGGAGCACTCCTGCGTACAGCCGAGTCTAACGCAGCTGCTCCTGGAGAGGCGCGAGCGGGCGAGGCTGCTCCTGGCGTCGAGCGGGCCTCTGCCGGCGAGAGCCCGCGCTCACGCCTCCTCGACATGGCCCTGCTGGCTCTGCTCGACTAGCGGCACGGCTGCCTCTGGTGACTGCGCGGGCGCCTGCTCCAGCTCGTCTGGCACTCGCCAGCGCACCACGCGTGCGGCGACGCCGGCGAGCGCCAGCATGGAAAGCAGGCAGCTGGCAGTGCCCCCTGCAGTCAGTGACGTGCCCTGGGACAACCTCTGCGCAGTCTCAGGCGAGAGCTGCGAGGCCACGATCACTGGCGGAGTCTCGGCCGTCTCGTTTGAGGCTGGCTTCGACTCCATCTTCGCCTTCTTTCCATGGTTTGAGGACAGTCTCGTGCTCATGATGGCCTTCTTTCCATGCTCAAGCGCTGCTGCGGTCTTCGGCGTTGACTTATTATCTTCCTTCTCCACATCACCCTTCGACTTTGCCGCCTTGTCTTCCTTCTTCACATCACCCTTCGATTTTGCCTTCTTGTCTTCCTTCTTCACATCACCCTTCGACTTTGCCGTCTTGTCTTCCTTCTTCACATCACCCTTCGATTTTGCCTTCTTGTCTTCCTTGTTCACATCACCCTTCGACTTTGACTTTTTGCCTTCCTCCTTTCCATCACTAATGATAACCTCCACTTTGCGCTTACTAGTGCCTGCTGGCACCTTGAGTTCTACCACATTTCCAGCCTTCGACGCAGGTACACTCCCTTCACCTCCAAACGGCCAATAGCCGTCTCCCAAGGTGCCACTGTCATGCGGGTTAGGCTTGTACAGGCTAGTCTCTACTGGCTTTCCGTCAACGCTCGCGTTGACAACGGTCTGGCCAACCAGCAGGTTCACGCGGACCACCCATGCACGCTCAATATCGGACTTGGTCATATCGACTGTCGCTGTGCCCTCACCATCTGTGGACAACGTGACGTCCTGGCTTGGCGGATTCTCTTCGGTGCTGCGCTCGTAAATGGTTCGCGAAGTCTTGAGAGCCCGCGGGCAAGGCCAGACCTCGACGACCAGGGTTGACCAATCGCCGTCTGCGACGGTGAGGCCTGGCTTGTCGGTCCAAATAAGCATGCCGCCATCCATCCTGATCCACATTGGCATCCGGTCCATCGGCTGCGCAACATGCGCATCCCCTGGCCCATATTGTACCTCTCCGTTCCAGACATCCATCCAAGCACCTGGCGGGATCCAGACATCCCTCTCGGTGACGTTGTCGCTAGAATCAATAATGGGCGCAACGAGGATATCGTCAAGGAACATGAACTGGTGGTTGGACTGGCTGGACTCCCAGTGCTCTGGCCAATACAGGTCGCACCGTGCCACGAATGGGAAGCCAGTCTGGGTGGCGCGCTGGCCGCCAGCGATGATCATTGGCATGAACTTGTAGCGGTACACGATCCAGCGGCGGAGGATGCCCTCCCACCAGTCTCCGTAGATCCACGGCTGATGGGGCCCTCCGTGGAACCGCAGGATTGTGCCAAACGAGCACATCTGAGTCTGGCGCAGGAGCTCGACCGCCGTCATAAACCAGCCATCGCCGCCACAGTCAGGATGCACGTAGGGCTTGAGGTCGTGAACTCCTCCATCCACCATCGCCTCCAAGTTGTTGTTCATGGTTGCGAAATCGCCGTTCCACCAAACAGGGTAGCGGTGGTGTGCGGGGTGCTCGGCCATCAGCATTGGATCGAGAGGCGCTGCTATGGCACCTTCGACGAGGGGGTTGTCGGCGATATTGTACCCACTGATCTCGTTGTGCGGAGCCTGCATTGACAGAATGATGGGACGCCCGCCATGGAACTTGTCGTCTGGACGGTTGTTCTTGTTATATTGTTCTGCGATTGTGTAATACACATGCGACCCCCAGCAAGAAGTGGTGAGACCCTCCCATTCAGAGTTTGCTGTCACTGAAGTGACAGCTGGGGGATCGGCGTTCGGGGGGGGGATAGAGAATTTCCAATTGTGGTCAAACCACCAGAACGAGAGTCCCTTGCTCATCCACGAGGTCAAACCATTCCAGCGGAAATTGACTTCATCCGGAGTCGTCTGAGGGGCCACTTGCCCCGGGTGGTCGTTGAAATAAGTGTGGATGCCCCTCTCGTCAAGCCAACGGAACCACTGTTCGTAGTCCGGGAAAGCGGATCCGTTAGGGTTGTCATACTGCAGATCAGCGTCATTCTCTATAAGGCGCCAATTCATGTCAAGCCCCCAGACATCGAGAGGCACCTTGTCGTCAATCCAGCGCTGGACCTCTGATTTTGCCACATCCTCCGTGTAGAAGTTCCACCACGTGAACCACGTGCCAAAGCCCCAGTCGGGAAGGAGAGGAACAGGCCCTGTCAGTTTGATGAACTCCTTGCGTGCCTCGTTCCATCCCTCAACGTCCTTTCGGGCTGGACGAAAGGGGGGATAGCAAAGGGGGGTTGAGAATCAGCTCACGTAGCTGATTTTCCCAGCGCCTCCTGGCGCCGGAGGTGGCTATGTATTGAGGAATTGGCGCCTCGGTGGGGCCGAAACCAGCTGCATGCAGCAGATTTCATAACCCCCCCTTTCCCAATCCCCCCATTTGAAGGTGTTTTTTTTCTGTTCGGCGATGACGGGCGTCATGGGGGGGGGGGGGAGGGCGGGGGGGGGTATGACGTGACGCCCCCCCCCCCGCCGTGTGGCTCCGGCACCACAGCCGCGCCCGCGCGCACGACGCGACGAGCGACGAGCGACGAGCGACGACGACGACGCGAGCAGCATGTAAGTGGCGATCTGCCCATTGCGCCTGTGTACACCACAACGCTCGCGTGCACCACACCGCGCGAATGCACCACAGCGCCTGCGTACACCGCAACAGCCGTGTGCAACGCACCGCGGTTGTATACCACAATATGTGGGAGCACTACAGCGCCCGTGTACATACACCGCAGCAGCCATGTGCAACACAACGCCTGTTTTTTTTTTCTCCTAAGCAAATGGCACCACAGATGAGGAAAAAGACGCGTCTCAAATGCAACCTCTTTGTTGCACCATACCGAGCACACCATGCCCCTGGACACCTTTCAAAGCAGGGAGCAACAGAACCTGGGTGGCACTACATATGAGGAATACAACGCGTCTCAAATGCAACCTCCTTGTTGCACCATGCCGAGCACTCCATGCCCCTGGACCCCATTTCAAAGCAGGGAACAGCAGCGCACGGGTGGCACTACAGATGAGGAATAGTTTGCGACTCAAATGCAACCCCTTTGTTGCATTTGCCTGAAGGGGGTGGGGCAGAGGCGGAGGAGGAGGAGGAGGAGGAGGAGGAGGACAAGAGGAAGGAGGCAGAAACAGAAAACGAATCCGCGCGTGCGTAGGCCGAACAAAAAGGACGACACCCGCACCGACACCCTCGCGGGAGCAATCTAGAAAGGCACAGCCAGAGAACAGTACAAGGAAACACTGAACAGGTACAGCAGATATATCATGTGATCGCGAGGCAGCAGCACCACGCACGGGCCAACCCCTGGTGGCGGGAGGGCAAGCCTAACGCAGTGGCTGGGGTCGCCCGCCGGCGGACGAGGGGGCGTCCGGCAAATGCATACAATGTGCATTCAACGCCTGTGTACACCACAGTGCTTGCGTGCACCGCAGGGCCTGTGCACGCCACAGCGCCTGTCTACACCACAGCATCCGCGTGCAACGCAGCGCTGGTGTACACCACAGTGCCTGCGTGCATAGGACAGGTAGAAGGAGCATGTACGTCAGGATCTGATGTGGACAACTAAACGCCACGCCGGGAAAGTTCTGATAATCGAGTGCGGCGTTTGTCCCTCCTCCTTCCTCCCTCCTCCCTCCTCCTCCTCCTCCTCCTCCTCCTCCTCCTCCTCCTCCTCCTCCTCCTCCTCGTCCTCCTTTCCCTCCTTCTTACCCCCTGTCGTGCGGCTTGGCGTTACAGCGCACGTGCGCATTTCAGCGTGCACCGCAGAATGGTCGATTGAATCGGTCCACTTGGTTCTCGGACGGCCAGTTTAGCTGGAGCCTCCTGGACGCAAGTGGAAGTTAGGGTGATGCGGGCGGACTCGAGGGACTCGTAGATTCCAGCGGCGCTCCTTTGTCCATGAGGATTTGTTTTACAATGTTTAATTTGGAATCCACACGCGCCCCATTTTGTGACAATGATTCTTTCTGAAATTCTATACACAACAATGGTGCTGTGTTGCACACGGCTGATGTGGTGCACACAGGCGCCGTGGCGTACACAGGCACTGCAATGCACGCAGGCATTGTGGTGTACACTGGTGCTGTGTTGCGCACGGCTGATGTGGTGTACGGAGGCGCTGTGGTGTACACAGGAGCTGATGTGCCCGCAGGCACGGTGGCACAAACTGACGCTGTGTTGCACGCGGCTGCTGTGGTGTACATCGGCGGCGTGGTGTACACAGGCGCTGTGGTGCACGCGGGCACTGTGATGTACACAGGCGTTGTGGTGCATATCGCCACCTACATGTTCGTGCTACCCGTCCTCCGTCATTCCTAACGATTCCCAAGCGCCGCTGGCGCGAAACGTGACGTCATCGACCCCCTCCCCCCCAGATGATTGCCGTCAGCTGTCCGGACTTACAAACAAGCTCCAGCCGCGTCCGCGCGCACGAGCGACGACGACGAACGACGACGACGACGACGACGACGACGACGACGACGACGACGACGACGACGACGACGCCTGCGGACCAGACACCTATGCGGATTCCTACGCGGACACCTACGCGGATCCCAATGCGCACGGCGGCAGTGCCCGGAGCGCACTGAAGGGGGGAGCGTTACGTCATAGGGGGGGGGAGCGGGGGCCATGACGCCCGTCATGCCCTAGGCAATAAAGAAATGGCCTCTTTCGTCCGGCCCGAGCCTTTCCCAGCAAGAAGACGTACGTGTCGCCCTCGACGTCGTTGCTAAAGTCATAGCCGTTGTTCGGGCCACCGTCCTCCTGGGAAACAGGCGCAACCTTCCACTCGGGCATAAAGAACCGAGGGTAGTCCATGATCGCGTAGCCAGGACTCGACTGGGGCGATGGCCAGTGCAACTTGTTCCAGGCAGGGTTCGCTTCAGAATCGTACAAGTCATTGCCGTCGGAATCCCACACCCGGATCACCCCATCCGAAATCTTCACGCTGTAGTGGTCTGTCTTCATCAGCCCCTGCTTGTCCGACTTCAGGTTGGGCCCCTCGAAGCCGTCGCGGTTCACAACCATGAAGGTGGTCCGGTCCTCGAAGCCGTTGGGGCCCTTCGGCTCCACGCGGAGCAGGATGGGGGACAGCGCCTGCACGCGGAAGTCGCCAACGGTGCAGGAAGATCCGTCGCACGCCGGCATCTCAGGGCTCTCGTCGCCTCCGCCCTCTTCGGCACCGCCCGCATCGGTCGCAGAAGCACGCTCTGCTAGGAGAAGGTACGCAGCGATGGCGCGGATGGTCCGCATCTCGTGGGCGCTCTCTCTCCGTCGTTCTACGTCTCGAGACAGATCTCGAGGCAAGGTTCCTCGAGCCCAAATGGCTCTACGGAAATTAAGATAGGAAGAAAGAAAAGGAGGAGGAGGGGTACAAATATGAGATGTCGTGTGTCTTGAATACGGGCTCCCGTGAAGTATCAACCCTTCTCCCCATGGCCGGCTGGCCGGCTTTCATCTTAAGTTGTTTTGTTGACGGCGATTCCAAGGCCCGGTCAAGGAAGGCCTCCAGAGGCCGAAAACGGCGAAAAAACAGCGCAGTGGTTTTCGACACATTGGAGGTCTGGGGTGTGGGGTGGAGGAAACCCACGTTTCTTCTGAGGAGGGGGGGGGGGCAGGATGCCGAGCGTGAACAGCCGCTCGGGTTCGAAGCCGCACCGGGGAGAGCTCGAAGTGGACACGGCGGGCTCGTGCCACGAGCGGCGGCGCTGGTTTCTGAAACACCGCGCGGCTCGCTCAACCTTTGGATGGTCGCGACTTTCCAATGGAGCGGACCCCCGGCTGTGCCAGGGGGGGAGGGGGCTCTCACCGCCAGGGGAGTCGGCAGCTCCTCGCGGCCACCGGGCCGATTCCGGGCCACTGGCGTCTGTCGACCTTGATTGCCCACGCCAGTGGGGGAGCAGACAATTACCGATATTGCTACTCCCTAGACCACTTCAGGGGTGCCATGCTGGCCAGGATCTCAAGGCGAATCCAGGCGTGGTGACGCGGGACGGGCAGCGGTATCGATATCGTTTGATATCTTTTCTTCCTCCGAGATGGGGTCGCCGCAACGTCAGCCCGACGCCGCGAATCTGCCGCAACGGCTCGGACTCCAACCCCCTGGGTGGAAACGCAAACTCGGGGCGAGCCAGGGCAGGCTGGAGGTCTACTGGAGAGCAGGAGGCCTCCCGAGCCTGTGTGTGTGCGTGTTGCCTGCATGTTCTGTCCATGCTCCGCAACTGTGCGTTCCAGGGAGCTTCAGTCCTGCCACATGCTTTGCAGGGAGGTAACCTATAGGGTCAGGAACTTTTGCTTAGCATGTCGCGGCGGCGGCACCAGCGACACGCTATGCCATGCAAGCGGAAAGCCTGTCGCTCCGCTCCGCGCGGCGGGAAGCTCCGACAGGCTTGGGGCGTTGACGTTCGGAGACTGGGAGGTGATTAGAGCGTCGCGCTCCTCAGATCAAACGCTGCGAACCAAAATACGACATCGTGCAAAATCACGACCCGAATTCAAGCGGGATCTAGATGTGATGGTCCCAAGGTCCCGGGGCCTAAAACTGGGCGAACACACCTGGTGCTTTTGGGGTTGTTTGGTAAAGAAAAAAGCGATCGGATCTAAAAGGCATCGCAAGCGTGTTGGAACAGAACCGCTGGCGCGACATGCCAAGCCACTGCTCCCAACTGTGAACTTTCCCACCCCCCTTTCCCTGGCGCGCGTAACACACCAGGGGTGGCGCTTCAGGCGCCACCAGGAAGGTCCAGTGCCGATCCCAGAAGTCCGTGCGGACCCTTGAAAATTCATATGTATGTCCTTTCCTTCCTGGGTTCAAAATGACCTTCCCCACTCCAGCCTCTAACAGATGCACACGCTCGTCTCTATGAGGTGGGTGTAGCGGCTGAACCTGTGACCAGAAATCTGCCTCAGTGGGACTGGAACTGGCGCCCATTCTTGTACGAATGCGCCCGACGTGTGACCGAATTGTCCAGTTCGAAAACAATGCCATGTTCAATAAGTTCGTTCGGTCACCGCGGTTTGTTCGGTCACATACCTTTCTGGCTGATACTTGGATCGAAGCAGGGATTGCTAAGGGGAGAGGTGGATTGATCTGTGGATGCCAATGTGTGTGTTATGTCTGGCCTAGCCTAACTTAAAGCCGGTTTACAAGTGAGGTGGTTAAAGGGTAGGTGGGTAAATCCGATAAGTACGCGGAGTCCACTTAGCCCGGATCATGAATACCCTAAGCCACCTGGGGCACTCGTAACCAACCCCTAAGCCCTAGGCTAGGTCAGGCCAGATCAGACCCACCGTGGCATCCACTGGTAACCCACCTATCCTCTTAGCAACTTCCTCGCCGATCCGAGCATCAACCGAAACGGCGCCTGACCGAACAACAGCGGTGACCGAAAACGCGCCCGAAACCACTCCAGCCTCTGACAGAAGCCAGAATTCCCGACCGCAGGGGGCGGGGTGATGGGCCTGTTTCCCACCACCACCACCACCACCATAAGTTGGGGAGGAGGAGGAGGAGGAGGAGGGGGAGGAGGGGGAGGAGGAGGAGGAGGAGGAGGAGGAGGAGGAGGAGGAGGAGGAGGAGGAGGAGGAGGAGGAGGGAGGAGGAGGAGGAGGAGGAGGAGGAGGAGGAGGAGGAGGAGGAGGAGGAGGAGGAGAGGGAGGAGGAGGAGTAGGAGGGAGAGGAGGGAGGAGGAGGAGGAGGAGGAGGAGGAGGAGGAGGAGGAGGAGGAGGAGGAGGAGGAGTAGGAGGAGGAGGAGGAGGAGGAGGAGGAGGACCCCCTCCCCCTCCAACTCATGGTGGTGGTTTTGGAAAACAGGCCCAACACGGGGGGCCCACGGCCCCTCCCGGCGCCCCCCGGCGGCGGCTCCTGGGCGGCGGGCCGGCGCCGGGCGAGCCCGCGCTCCTGAGGCGGGCGCGCGCTCGCGCCCGGGCGGGACAGGAGGCGCGACCCCTTTCTCGCTCCTCGCTCCTCGCTCCGGGCTCCTGACTCCCCGCACCTCCCCGCTCCTTCCCCCCCGCCCGCTCCTCCTCCATCCCTTGTCCTTATGAATACGGTGGGGACATTGGACAAGGACCCCTTGGACAAGGAATCCAGGGTCTGGAAGCCGGTGGAATTCCGATCGTGGATCGGTCATGGATATCACCGCCGCCCTCATCAGATAAGGAACCCTCCAGGGTCTGAAGGCCATTTACACATTCCTTAACCAACGCCCCCACCGTGACTCCTCCCTGTTGCACTCCGAGGCCAGTCGGAAGGGCAGGCCGGGCGTTTCGCCTGAGAGTTCCTGACCATTTATGAGTCTGAAGCTGAGAAGCTGGCAACAGTTTCACAAATGGAGGGCGGGTGGTTTTCAAAATGTGGCTCTCGCCTTCACCGGGCACATTCGTTTCAAACATGTATTGCAAGAGTTTAACGGGTTGAGGGCGGATCGTTTTCAAAAATGTGGCTCTCGCCTTAGCGCCGCGCACACTCATCTCAAATACTTGCCAGAGCTTCACGGATTGAGGGCGGGTCGTTCTCAAAATGAGGCTCCTCTGGCTTTAGCGCCGCGCGCATTCGCTTCAAGCATGTTCGAAAAATGTAACGGGTTGAAGGCGGCTCCTTTTCAAAATGCGACTCTCGCCCTCGCGCCGCGCACATTCGTTTCAAACAATTGCCAGATGTTCACGGATTCTCGCGGCTAGCGTACCAGAAGCAGCGTTTTCGAACGATTATGACTGCCAGGGCGCAACAAGTACGTTGATTTGCGGTGTTGACGTCGCAAGAATTGCATCCTGGCACGATTCTGGATCGGCAGCACGCAACAGTCAAGTTGACTCGTGGCGTTCACGTCCTGAGAATGGTTCTGGCACGCATCAGGATTTTCACACGTTTGTCTCCCAACGGTGCACTTCCCTCAGCGGAAATGAATGCTTGCAGGGGCCTATGAAGAGGGAGCTTGGAGGGAGGGTGTATTACAACATCGTTGATGAGTCTCGGGTTTACACTGGTCCTCCTCCTCCTCCTCCTCGCTCCTCCTCGCTCCTCCTCCTCCTCCTCCTCCTCCTCCTCCTCCTCGCCCTTCCGCTCGCTTCTTCCCGCTCGCTCCTCCCCGCTCGCTCGCTCCTCGCTCGCTCCTCCCTGAAGGGGGAGGGGGGGGCGCTGTGATTGGCGGCGCGCACGGGCGGGTGAGCGCGAGGGGCCCAGCCCCACCCGTGCCGTGAAGCCAGCCCGGCGAGGCACCCAGATGGCAGCAGAGGAGAAGAGGCTGGCCGAGGCCCAGGTCGGCCAGTGAAGGTGTGCACTCCTGGGCAACTGCTCCTTGGGGAGTCCTGGCGACGCTGGCAGGCGGGACAGGGGTGAGAGCACGGTCCTGCGCACCCGAGCGTATGAGACGAAGCCAGGACGAGGATCAAACCGGACGAGGATAAATCGGGAATCTCTGAGATCTGGCGGTTCTGGAGGATGTCTCGGGCGCCGCGGACTTCTCAAAGAGTTCCTGAACGCTCTGAGTTCCTTCTCAAAGAGTTCCTGAACGGACTTATCCTCGTCCTAGCCCCGCCCGATGAGAGCACGGTCCTGCGCACCAAGGCCTGCCAGGAAACCGAAACCGAACCGCACCGAGCCGGGCGACCTCGACACGGAGCCGGACCGATCGAACTGGGGCAAACCCCGCGTGGCCCAGCGGCCGCCCAGAGACCTCGCGCGGGCCCCCTCTGGAGGGCCTCGGCTTCCGAGGAGGGGGAGCCGCCACCCGCCGCGCGCCCGAACGGGGAATCTGCACCGCCCTCGCCTGGCCGTTCGGACCAAGAGTGTAGCCGCTCGGATGAAAAGTGTGGCCGGCAGCTGGCAGTGAAGCGAGAGCACGATTCCTGGATCAGGACGGGGATGATGTCATGATTCATGATTTGTTGTTCATGGCGATCCTTCTTGCAAGGCCGCTGCAACCGACGCGACGCGCCGATCTTATGCGGCGAAACGCGATCTGGCATGCATGGGTGAACACGCGCCTGCTGGCTGTCCCGTAACAAGCCCTCACAAACATACCCCAAAAGAGGCCCCTTGCCACCGTCCCCCAGCTGTCCCATGCGACAAAACCGCTATATGTTTAGGATCGTGAGAGCCGGTCGAAGGGCCCTACACTGCGAGCCACGCTTCTACCATCCAGGTTCCAGGCTTCTCTTTTCAGCAGGGCAAGCGGCGTGCGCAGAGCGCCTGCAACTAACAAACGGGCGGCTCGCGCGAGCTCCACTCTCACAAGCCCTGTCCCAGCTGGCTGGCGAAACAACACACTGGTCTTCCGTCCCAACTCGTTGCTGCATGCCCGCGGGCCCGAGAATAGCGCCTGGAGGCATGAGTTGTGGAAAACATGCTGAAGCGGAGGTGGAGGACGACGACGAGGCACCGACGGCCGTCCGCTACGGGGCCGATGTGAACTCGAACGCTGGGCTCTTCTCGGAAGCGCTCCCCGACTCCTCGTACTGCGCGAAAGATGGCTCCAAATGCCCGGTGTCTGGGCTCCTGGTCAGCATGACTATCGCGCCCTTGTTGCGGGCGTGCCCGAGGTAGTTGGGTGCGCTGAAGACGGTGATGAGCGAGGGATGCGTCCACTCGTAGCCTCCCACCTTCACCTCGTGAGAGCGTATGATCAGACTTAGCCCGTTCTGCTGGAGGAACGCCTCCGTCACGTCGGGGCCGAAGATGTAGCAGCCCTTCTGCACTCGGAACGACGGCCCGTAGCCCGTCTTGCCGCGCGGGTCGGCCCAGAGGAGGTCCACCAAGATGCGCTGGACCTCGGCCTCCTCCTCCGGCAGCGCGTCCAGCGACCCCAGGTCCAAGACCGGGTCGCAACCTCTGGGCAGCGCCGCGATCTCGTCCAGGCTCAGCTCGCGCCGCCTGGGCGGCAAGGACACGTTGTCCGGGTTGTACCCCAGCAGGGACAGGTTCTGCCCGCCGCCCCTGCGGCCGCCCGTGCGGCCGTCCGCCGCCGCGGGCGCCGCGTCGTACCCCGTGCCGCCGCCGCCGGCGTCGGCGAACGCCAGCCGGGGGTCGGGCCCTGGCAGGCCTCCGTGCACGACGAAAACCTCGGAATTCAGCACGTGTGCCAGGGGCAGCCATCGGAAAGCCTCGGCGAAGGCGTCGAAGAGGCGCTCCCCCGCGGTCCCGTACCGGGCGTGGATCTCCTCGGCGAAGCCGTAGCGGAGATTTAGGTGCGCCGACTCGTGGTTTCCTCTATTCAGGAACACGGCGTGGGGGAACTGGAGCTTCAGGGCGAAGAGGGTGCAGATCACCCCGAGGGAGTTGGAGCCCCGGTCCACAAAGTCCCCATTGAACAGGTAGGGGTTGCTGTCGCCTGGCATGCCAGCAAACTCGAAGATTGCTAACATGTCGTGGAACTGGCCGTGCAAATCACCGACCACCACCACCTTGTCGACATCAACTCTGCAGAGGGTCTTCTCGGCAGCCAACACTCTCGTAGCGTCCGCCACCAACGCCAATGCGTCCTCCAGGCCCAGGATCACGTCCCCTGGGCGCTCGCGATGCAGCTGGAGCAGGTCCCGCACAAAGGCATCGTCCACCCGCCCCGACCACCTCAGCAGCCCAAGGGCTGGCGGCGAGGGCGGCGGCGCCACCGGCCTCTCCGCGACCATGGCCCGCCCTGGGGGGCTCCCAGACCCGTCTTCCTGGAGGCCCCTGGCCAGGAGCTGGACCTCGGCGTACTCCACCTCCAGCGGCAGCGACGCAGCGGCGACCCCCGCAGGGCCGCGCGCGCCTGACTGGAACTTGCCGGAGGAGTTGTCGAGGATCTTGTCGCCCAGCAGGTCCATGATGTCCCAGAACTCCCAGGCGCTGACGTCGACACCGCCCACCGAGCGCACCGCGAGCCCCTCGCGCACGCCCGCTCGCCGTGCACTCCCCTGCGGGTCTCCTGGGTACCGCTCCACGCCCAGACGCCACACTAGCG